TTCTTTTTAATTGATATACATTAATTTAACCTAAAAGTGAAATATATTGGACTTCATGTCCATTGATAGATAAGCAAGAAACGAGAAAATTATCATCCAGGCGTTAAAACCGAAAGTGCCGCCATTATCGAAACTTGACAAATAAAAATTTCTTATAAAAAATAATTTTTGAAATTTTTAATTACATCGTTGTAAATTTAGACATAATAATGTAAATAAAGTTGATTTAAATATTTAGTTTGCACTTTTATACATACGATATTAAATTAGATGAATTTTATAATAGATTCTTAAACAGACTTGATACTTTTATGGGACTGAAATTATGACCCCGCAGATAACGACACTCGGTTATAATGTCAAAAAATTGCTGGTCCCATGGATGACGTTATAAGCAGGTTAAACTGTACTTTATTCCAATCATTTAATTAGCCATATTATAGCCCGATATTTAGGCGATCATTTGGTAATTTATTTACTAAATTATTATTTCAAATATAATTTGTAATAATAACTAGCAAGTAAAACATAATCTTCCAAATCTATTTGTTTTACTCAATTTTTAAGTTGTTTATTTGTTAGGGATAAAACATTATTTATATTAGAAGGTTAAAAATTTTAAACTTTTTCTGAAGCAACTATAGACACACTTAAAAAATTTGCAAATCACTTTATTTAATAACTCTTAAAAGGGAGTTTTATTATTTAATATTGCAGTTGATAAAACAGTCTTTTAATAACATTTCAATATTCAATATTAAATACATATAAGCAAATAGTGCATTTAATGCCAAAATACATAATTTCAAAATTTAATTGACAAGGTTTAATACATTCATTAATTACATTTTTATAGCAATTTCTAATATAAATTATAGTTTTTATTAAGTATCACATTTGTCATTCAGTCTTACTTCTAACTTTTTTGATTAATTATATTAGTCAATATATAATTTTTCAAAACTTGAATATATTGATAAATTTTTTTAGTCCATTGATTTAAAAAAATTGAAATAAAATTGTTTTTAGGTGATTATTTATGAAAATTGAATCAAAATACATATTAGAAGGATAAAACTTGAAGTTTTTATAACTACGTTTTTAAAATAGTAATTTAATAATTTTTTATTACAAACTCTTGATATAGTTTTATCTAATAGAACAGCAGTTCCCAATTGTTTTTGACTTGCATACCCCTTGGCAGTCCATTTTTCTAAGTTTTATTTCTCATTTCTTATTTTCACTAAGTTTTATTTTGTGTGTTCATCAAACATTGCCACCTTGGTCAGTTATACAACACTATACAATTACATGTAAAAAAAAGTTTTTTAAATTGAAAAGCATTGGAGGGAGGGCATAGATAAATACTAAGTGTCGAGTGCCACAACGTTGCCAAAGACCTCAACATAGAATCTGAATATTCTTACTGTATGCCCACATCCACCATTATTAATTTTTTTTGTATACCCCTAAAGTTGGCAGAAAGAGGGTAAGGGGAAGAAGGAGGGAGAGGAGATAGACAGTAGAGAGAAAGGTAGGATCCCTCTGAACGGCGTACTAATGACTACAGTACCCTTATGTTGATGTTGGTGTGCAGTTTTTAGGCTGCAAGGCTGTAGTCCGCTGATGGGTCTAAAAGAAAACCTGAGTGTAGCAAACATCAATAATTGAGTGTTGCCATGAATAGCTAACAAGGGGACCTTACAGTCTTGGAAATTCAGTACAGGATGAAACTTTGCAGGTTAGTAGTATACCTTGAGTGTCCATCCAGAAGAATTGTAAAGCGCACTAGCCAGAAGATTCCGAGAAAAAAGGCTCTAAAGTTTTAAGTGCATCTCGTACTGGTTGATTTTACACTATGGCAGCACAGCGAAATGGTTGAGTCTGTAGCAAACTCACTTGCCACGCAGGGGATCTAGATTTGATCCTACCTTTGGCTTTTTGTTTTTGTTTTAAATTGTTTTGAAAATTATAACTTTTAAATAAAGTTAATGACCTAAAAATATTATGATTGAAAATAATAGAGAAATAAATTCCTGTGAAGACTGTATAAAAATACAATCAATAATGCATCATCAACTGTCATCGCCAATTTTTAATAAAATGATCTGGTATGTCTGGTACACTTCCAGGCTTTCTAATGAAGAGAAATTTTCATTAATGTAAATGAAGTATGTTTTTCAACAGATCTTTTAAAAAAGGTTGTTCGTGTAAACAATCGTCCATCGTAAATGTGCAAGATGTCAAAATAGTTTGTTTTTAATGTTTTTATGATAATTATCATTCTGGTGCTTGTATGCAAAATAAAAAATTGACAAATAAATATGATATTGTAGAAGTTTTTATATAAATGAAACCCTACCCAAAAATTTGTTATAGTGGTAATTAAAGTTTTCATTTACCTCCATTAAAAATGCATTTGAAATTATTCAACTTATTAAATAAAATATTATCTTTAATTCACATTTTAATTAGCTGTAACAGTCATTTCATAAATAAAATAAAATTATTTATGATTTAATTGATAATATTTTTAGGTCATTAACTTTATTTAAAAGTTGTTATAATTTTTAAAACAATTAAAAACAAAAAAAAAAAGGTCAGCTGAAGGTAAGAGATTGAGTCTAGATTGCATGCATGACAAGCGAGTTTGCTACAGACTCAGCCATTTTGCTGTGCTGCCATAGTGTAAAATCATCCAGTATATGAGCTGTGCATAAAACTTTAGAGCCCTTTTTCTCAGATTCTTCTGGCTAGTGCACTTTACAATTCTTCTGGGTGGTATACTACTAACCTGTGAAGTCCCGAACTGAATTTCTTAGACCGTAAGATCTCCTCATAAGTGTAGAAGTTAGTGCCAAGTGACTATTAGTAGGAAGACTTATATCTACTTAATACTAATAAAACTGAACACGATTGCAAATCTTAATACTATGTAACAACTAGACAGACAATGTGAAAAGCAAACGAACACATGACAAACTAGACAAGATGAACAGACTGACAGAGACAAATGAGCAAGACCCCAATTTTATTTTTTATTTTATTATTATTATTATTATTTTTTTTTTCAAACATTAACTTACTAACTAAACTAACCTACCATAACTTAGAAGAAACCTGACCAGATGACTAAAGCTGCTAACAAACCCTAATTTACTTTAATCTAACCTATCATAACCTAACAGAAACCAAGCTAAGAGTCCTTAATATAACTTACAACTAGGACTAACTGAATTTAGACTGAAAAAAGACAGAAAATAAGAATTAAAATACAAAGTTAAAAGGCAGCTATATCATGACACTTGAAACAAAGCAAAGGAAAGCTAATTGCCATGTGTACCCCGGAGTGAGTGCTCTCAAAAGCCCCACTAAGGGATATGAATGTGAGTATATGATGGAACATTGTACACATGTGAATGAGTTGGTGTGGGTTGCAAGGCTTGTTGTACCTTTCAAGAATAGCAGCTCTCATTAAGCTATCCCTAATGTGATTGTACCTATTTGTAGCGAAAAACTAAGTGAAGTGATGTTTGGTCCTGAATACCACAATTGCATTGTGGATTGTTCCCAAGGTTAAATCTATGTAAGTATTGCTTAAAGTTTTGTGTTCTGTAAGTAGCTGAGTCAGGGTGTAACTAGGATAAAAGTGGTGAAGATAATTCTCATGCGCAGTTTGTGGACTACAGCATGACAGATTACAACTTGGCTGGCATTTGAGCATTGCTAAACAATTGACATATCAAATTTTAGCATTGCTTTAACTCTAAATATGTACAGTACCATGGATGGTTATTGAAATTAAATAGAATTTTAATTTGACTTGAATATAAGTTGAGACTCAAATATATATCAAGAGCTATTTTTTATTCCTTTTAAACTGGGGTAAAAATATAGACTAATATTTGAGCCACTACAATATAATATTCAGGATCATAGAAAATTAATGTAAAAATAACATTATTTTTACAAATGATAATAAAATTAAACCAGCAATGAGTTGCTCAACTTTCCTGGCAACATTTAAAATTTTGGTGGTGCCATCTGTTATCATATTTTATTTAAAAACCTTTTATATTTTAACTATTATAAAATGGCAAAAGCTTAATTTTGAGGGTAGGGATGAGTTTTATAAAAAAGTGTAAATGCTAATAACAAGTAAAATTGTCATTAAGTTCAACCTTACTGGAGATAAACACAACCCCTATTATCTCCCCACCTCCTCGATGTTTAACCACCAAAATTTAATAGCATTGATTCCCCTCATAAACAAACCTTCCTGCAAAATTTCAGAATTTTTTAATAAAAAGCCCAAGAGTTATTTAATATCAAACGGGGTGAACAAAATTGTGCTCCCCACACACTAATATCCATCCATACATACAGAAAAAACCCCACCAAATTTTTTGCATTTCAATATTTCAAGGTGTCCTGAGTCCAAAAATGAAAAAATCTTGGAGGTCACTTTTTACCAATCACCATACTTTCCCTCTGTTACATATAACAGCTGGGAAAGAAAGTAATTGAATGTTAAATTTTGTTTTTTCTAACTTAACAGAATAAATAAGAATATTTCAGATTAACTTTGCTGCTTTGAGTTTATTTAGCTCAATAAATAATTATAGTTCTAATCACAGAAGCAATATTTTTCAATGAAAAAGGACTGTAAAATTAATGTAAAAAAAGAGCACATGCCTAGATATTCATTATTTAATTTATGTTTGAATAGTTTGAGTTTAATCAAAATTTTCCAATGCTGATATGTCAAATTCAATATTAATAATTACAAAACTTCATTAAAAATGTAGCTGAATTATATTTTGCTATTCTAAATTAAAATAAAAAAAACAAGTATAAAATACTTAATAGTAAACCAGGATATAAGCAATTCCATTTTCTTAATTATTTATATGAAAAGAGCATCAATATAATCTACCTTGTTCAGTTTCATTGTGTTTAAATGAGAATATTCAAAATACACAATATATGCTTTTGCTAATGAATTACTATCCTCATAACATAATAAGATTTTTAAAAAATTAAAATTTATAACATAATTTAAATTAGGAAACTCATAATTATATTCTTAAGTGAAAACCTATCATATCATTTCTACTATTATTCTAAACAAGTTATATTAGAATAATATAGTTGAATAGTTCAAGTTAACTATTTAGAACAAATTCACAATATGAGAAGTCTTTGAAAATTGTTTTGATTATATAAAAATATATTCTAATAATGTGTTCATTAGCTTTTAGTTGCTAACTTCTTTCAATTAGTAACAAAAAAAAATTACATATTATTAATATGATTAATGTATTTGAGAAAGATCTTGTTTTCAGTGCAATCTTTCTTTTTGATATCTGGGAAAAAATTGTTTTCCAGAACAATACTTATTGATTCAGAAATATTAGCTGGATTGGATGGATTAAATGAATGGAGGATTAAAGAAGCAGAGGAACTGAGCAATATTGTTCAACTTCGTCTTCGTTATTTACAAGTAAGAAACATTTTAATCTGTTTTAATAAAATTAAAATTTCAATATTGAGTACTGTTAATTAAAATTTTCTTTCAGAATCCAAAGGATTGCAGTTCAGCAAGAAAATTAGTGTGCAACTTGAATAAAGGTATTAAAACAAAATTTCTGTGCTCTAATTTAGGACAAAATTGATTACTTTGATTTTTGATTATTAAAGAAATTTTTTTAAAGTATTCTTTTTTTAAAAGGATGTGGATATGGTTGCCAAGTACATCATGCAGTTTATTGCTTTATTGTTGCATATTCGACTGAACGTACATTGATTTTACGCTCGCATAATTGGAGATATGCTCAAAAAGGATGGGAAACTGTTTTCCTTCCTCTTAGTGAAACATGTTTGGAGGATACTGGGAAAACTAGATCAGCTTGGCCTGGTAATAGTTTTAAAATATATAAATATTTTCTAGTTCTAGCTTCTAGTATCAAGTTTCTAGTGCAATATTGAATGAAAGTTCACATATACTTGATCAATAAATATCCAGTTAGTTTAAAATTGTGAAAAAACAGATAAGATACTTAACTAAAAATAAAATAAGTGTTTACAACATGAGCTCTTTTACAATCATGAAATGAGATAATTCATTCTTGCAAAGAGAAATTTAAACAACTACATCAAGAGAGCTCAAAGATACTATACAAAAGGTGAAAATACCATATTTCCTTGATTTTAAGATGTACATTTTTACTTGTTTTTCTTGTTCAGAATAGAGACGATTCTTACATTTGCAATCTAAAACAATAATCACAAATTCTCACAAGCAGATTACAGTATGTGTTATGCATTAATAAAAGACATTTTTGCTTTACTGCTCAATAGTTACATCAGTTCAAATCAGCTTTGCTGGTAATGAGTATTTAATTTAAACTTAATTAACTGCCATTTTTAAACTTGGCACCATAATTGAATGAATAACATGAAATGACTGCGTAAGCAGCATTTCCAACATTTGAAATGCTGATGATTTGTTGTAAGTCAAAAATGTTACGGTAATAAAAGTGGTTGGTTTCCTCAATTCAGTAATTTGATATTATTTGTTTAGTTTAAACCCCTTTTTAAATTGTCTTGCTTAACTTGTGTTTTAAGATGACATTGTGATGCAGAAATTAAAACAAAATACAGTGGTTACTGTGTATGCAGAAGAGCATAGAAATGCATTGTGAAATATTTTTTCATGGCATTTGTATCATTTTTCTAGCTTTTTACTTGTAAAATTTAGTTTTTTCATACATAAAATAACTTAAAATTTAATTCAAATCCACAGTGCATCTTAAAACTTTAGGAAATACTGGAATATCAAGGAAAGTTTTTATATTTATCTTATCTAGCCATGTAGAATAAAATAATTGCAAAAAAATATAATAAAAAAATACTAAAAAAGATATTGCTACTAGTGGGAAAAGAGCTGTAAACAAGATTATTGATGTACTTGAACTTGGATGTTGTATACCATCCAAATTCATGATGCAGGGCATATTTGTAGCTTTGTCACCCTCACTTACATACAAAGAATTGAGTCAGGTTGTTACAGCAGTACACAATGCTGGTTATACAACATCCAAGATATTGCTACATTGTGTATGAAGCAATATTTTCAAATATTCTCTAATTCAAAATGTCCTGTAGAATTCTAACATATCCTATGTTTTCTGCATAATTTCTGTGATACATTAAGATATTTCGGAGCTTTTTTGTTATAGGCATACAGGTATCATTATGTATAGAGAAAGCATTCATATGACTTTCAATAAGTTATAATGTACATTGTTGTTTCTATTCCTCATTTTCTACTTTTCCAATATTGAAAAGCATTTTTATTTAGCTTGTGTTTTTATTTAATATTTGTAAAGTTTTAAAGTAGACATACAACAAATAAAAGTATTGTATGAGTGTTTTATATGATATACTACTGTATGTGTTTTTGATAAAATTTGAAAAAGAATATTTTGATCATATAAATATTCCATTATTACTAAAACTTTTGTTATTAATTAAAAGTTAAATTGTTTTTTAAAATTAGATAGATCAATTCTTAGTTCAAACAATGTAAGGCTGGAATAAAGTATGCCATAAAAAACTCAAACCTCTGATCCTTATAAATGAAATTTCAGGATAGTTTAATGTGCGTATAAATGTTCCATTTTGGAACACATTCACCTGAAGATCTATTTAAATTGAAAGTATTTGTATTTTATCTGTATTAAACTATGCTGGAATTTCATTTATAAGGCTCAGAGGCTTACATTTTTTATATAAATCAATTCTTAGATAATGATATCAAAAATAATGATGTTATAATAAAAAGAAGACAACATTCTTGGAGTAATTCAATAAAATAACAATATTGTAATTTGACTTAAAATCAGGAAGGGCATTTTCATTTACTAGACAATAAAACAATTAACAACTTACTGACAGTAGTAGTAGGTCAGTGTGGGCTACACTGATCATCTATCCTGACCTTAAAAATAACACCTTCCTCTCAAATTTCACATAAAGCAGATGTTAAATGGTTGTAAGTTGATATAATTTACAGAGAGTTTCTTAAATTTAATGTTTATTTTTGCATTTTGAATCAAATAACAATAAAATATGTACAAAAAAAGCACTTTCAGAATTCCAAGAGTATTTTATATTGTTAGAAAGAAGACAAAATGAAGAAATTAAACATATAATTGTGATTTTTTGATGTAATGCTGACAGTTTCACAGTTTTAGAATAAAAACTTGTTTGTTTTTACATGACATAACTTGCTGGGCTTTATATTGCTCCCCAGATAGACTGGCATGCCAGTCTATCTGGGGAGACCATGAAATCAGAAATTGAAAGTACAATATATATAACCATGAAAGTACAATATATGAAACCATGAAAGTACAATATATATATAGTGTGTATAGATTGAACTTTTAAAACCTTAAAATTATTGATAGCAATAAATTATTTACTTTTTTAGGTACTGATGATACACAAATTATTGATTTACCAATAATTGATAATGTTAGACCAAGGCCTGCTGCTTTACCATTATCTATTCCAAAAGATTTATCAGAGAGGTTAATACGTCTTCATGGTAATCCTGCAGTTTGGTGGATTGGACAGTTTCTGAAATATTTATTGCGTCCACAGGAAAACTTGGCTAAGTTTTTAGCTATTGCAGAAAATAAAATTGATTTTAGTACACCTATTGTTGGGTAAGTTATCTATGTAATTTGCAAAAATTGGTTGGTTGATACACTCTAATTTTGCATATCATATGAAAAATATGATCTGTATTATTATTTATTATTCAAAAGAAATTTTTGCTATGGTTAGTTTTTGATTACAATTCTGTTTAGTACTTATGCATATTATATATTATTTAATTATTCTATTTCTTTAATTTGTACAAATATATTGTTAATTATACTGTAAACAACTATTAAAAATTAAATATAGTTTTAACAAGGAAATATTATTTATTTTTAATTTCTATTAAAATTCTCCAATCGTTTGAGTATTAAATGATTGGAAGTTTGCTTGGAATTCCTCAAAAAACTATTCACAAAAACTGAATTTGATGAATGAAATTTGGATATTCATTAAAATTATTTGCTGGTGTGAAAATAAGGTTATTTTTTTTATGCTTAGAATTTTGGTTAAAACACACAAAAGCAATGAATAAAATTTACTATTGTTAATTATTAGCTTTAATAATGATATATCATGATTCAATTTGAATTTAAATAAATTTTATGCTAAATTCTTTCAAAATTAAAAAAAAATTATGTATTAATATAGCATGTAACTTTATTTTTTTCTAGTTGTCCATATTTATTATTATAAATAATAATAATTATTATTATTAATTGTTATTAGCATAAAGGATGGGCATCCTGTTTCTCAGGAGCTAAGCAATTACAAATATACATTTTGTAAGCATACCAAAAGTTTTTAAATCTTTAGTTATTTTCTTCCAAATTCTTAAATTTAATCGATTATTTAATATTTACATCTTCCTTCACAATTTTAATTAGAAAATTTTACAAATTGTACAATTCCTTCAATTTAAAGTTTATTCTAAAGTCTTGAGTTAAGTTTTGCTGGATTATATGAGGTATTCCAAATGATTCTAATATTTGTGTAAACTTCTCAGTCTTTCAATATATTCAGTATTGAAAAATTGCTTGAATCACATCAATAATTTTTATTTAAAAAATTTATATATTCATTTCTAGTGAATAGTGAACTTTTATTTAGTCATAGTTAAATTATTAATCTTTTTACATTTATTTCCAATAGTTTATGTATGGTTGTAGTGAAGGTATTTTTAATATTTTTGGATACCATGAATGATAAATGGATTTATGTAAACTGTATTGATCTTTATACATTATCATATTGCAGAATCTGGTGATAGTGTATATCCACTCATGAATGTTATTCTCAAACAAATGAACACTTATACCAAATAATTGTAGTATTTTGTTTAATTTTGTTTCCCATAGTTGATTGATTTCCTGTCTTCTACTTTGTTTTAACATTTCTTGAAGTAGAAAAGTTATATTTTCACCATTTTTAAAGTTTAGTTGATAAAATTTTATTGTGTTTTTTAAAAAGAATGGGAAGAACCAGATTCAATTTGTTTTCTGGCAGATAGAATGTCCATGTACTGGTACAGTTCTCTAGTTGATGTAATCTTTGAAAAAATAAATATGGAAATATTTCAGATCAAATAAGTAGTTAAGTCTTAAAATTGGACCTACATAATATATTAATGAATTTATTATGGAGTTGTACAGTGTCATATGTAGGTGTATATTTGAAATTTTTAATTCTGAACATTAATACACTGCTCACAAAAATTAGGGGATATTTCAAAATGAATATGAAGTGATAAAAAGAAGCATTTGATTTTTTTTATTAAACAAGAACATCAGAAAAGCAAATGACAAGTCAAAGAAAGTTGTTTGATTATGCAAATGAGATGCAAAACTAACTTTAATTGAAAGTACTAGCATATCTGCAAATTCCCTGATTTTGAAAGTGCACATACTGCAATTTCTCAGCCTTTACATTGTCCCTGCAACACGATTTGCCTGAATGTGAAGCCTGGAGAGCTATGGGACATCTTGAAGCTGGTCAAACACAGACGACAGTGGCAACAGCACTTGGAACATCCCAAAGCGTGATTAGCAGGCTGTGGAATTGCTTTCAAGGACTGGCACAGTATGAAGAAGACAAGGGCAGGGTTGCCCATCTGCCACAACTGCAAGAGATGACTACTACTTGATTCTTATTGACAAAAAGGAACAGGTGCAGCAATGCAACAGAGCTGTAGGGACAGCTTCTTGCTGCCACTAGACATTCATTCATTCATTAGTTTAATTGTACATTTAAAACAAGGTACAAAGTCCTGCCCCGTAGTGAGCATTACAGGAGCATATCCGTTACATAGTTGCACCGAGTTACAGTATGCACTAATGAACAAAGCAAAGTGAAAAGAAAAATAAATAAATAAATAAATAAAATAAAAACACAATGACAATAAAAGACCTGAACAAAATATGCAGCAGCTTGCTGCAGCATATAACAGATTACCTATCTGCAGGAATATTTTCACAAAAGAAGGTCGCAGTAAATACAATAATTCTGAAAATTAGTGTTTAACAGCATTTATCCTGTGCAGAAAATTTGTAAGCCAAAGATATGAGAATCCCATGAGTCCATATATAATATGCGTACAAGTCAAAAAAACAAAGTCCACACAGCTAGTAATTGTAAGTATCAATTCCAACACTTTAAACCTCAAAACAGAGGAAGATCATGAAGCTTACATATTTCTTACAGTCAACAAACACAAATGTATATAGAGAAGCGATGATCTGCTTGTATCAGTTGTTGCGCTAAGAAGCAGAGGTAGCACTATGAATTAAACAATTTGTGCCCTGTAAAGGATTCCATAATCATTAAGGTAAGTAATCAGCTGTCTTAATATATAAGGCTTTTGCTTTAATGTAAAGTGGACACTCCTTGTCTAGTGTGTTATGTTCATGTTTATCTAGGCCACTCCTCAAACAATTAGCACATTTAGGCTTTTCACTTTTCTTTGTACATGTCTTAAACAAATGATCATCACAACAATGGCTACAAACTTTCTTCGATGATGGGCAACTTGCTGCCAAATGTCCAAAAACAAGACATTTGTAGCACTGTCGTACAGGGAAAAAATCATAAATATTGCATGTTTTCCACTGAACATAAAGATATCCTTGTTTTTTAGTCATTGCCCTAACCTCCGGTGACATTTCTAACACCCATGATAAAAACTCGTCATTTCTCTGTTTGATTGAAAATCGAATGTTTAAACCTTTTTAATCTCCTCCATCGTGAACTTCTGTGAAAAAAAATTCTGTTCAAGCAGATATTCCAATAGGTCCTCTTTGGTGATTGAGTTGGGGATTGAAGTCACTTTCATAAGAGGAAGACGCCATCTTGCGCTTCATGCCTTCAATCCTTCTATTTTGTCTAATTGTTCCTGAAAGTATTCAGCCTCCTCTCTGATAGGAAAATCAACAGCAATTCCACCCTTGTTAATTTTACGAATACGCTTGATAGGCACCTTATGCAATCGTTGATCAAAAGAATTAGTGAGCAGTGTCTTAGTCTCTTCTGATGTGCTCTCTTTATTATCATTGTAAACTAGAACAGTGTAAGTTGGTAACGAGGACTCCTTTTCAGACTGTGTATTCTTCAAAGAATTAAGATCGCGTTGTAAAATATCTCTATATATCAGAGCAGTAGTTCTTTGAGAACCTTCCGCCCCTAAAAGTGGAGGTTCTCCAAGTCACAAATAGTCTGTTTCACTTCCTGAATAGCCTCTAAATTTTTGTCACTCTGAGCAATAAGCAGCTGTTTGACATCCTCTTTCGTTGCCAACATATCAAATTTCTGAAGCAGGAAATCTGATATGGAATTTTTCCTAATTACCTCTTCAGCACTCTTCACTAAGGCAATAAATTTATCTGTAATAAATCTAATATGTTTTTCAGTACCCAATTGCCCTTTTGGGTTATTACAGAAATATCTCTCTAAATGCTCAATGGCTTCCTCAGATTCTTCCAGAAATTCTTCAATAGTATCAATCGCCATCACTGAGTATAATAACTTTTAAAATTAATAATTTCCAAAAAATTAATAATATGAAGAAAGAACATACGACTTCTGGTAAAAATTCTGGAATCTTCTATGCTGCCACTAGACAATGGATATGCATCCAGACCATACAAAATCAGTTCCATTGTGTTGGACTGCATGCCAGGTGACCAATGGTGTGCATTCCATTATCTGCTGAACATATAAAACTAGTGGAAGGTGGGCTGATGAGCATCGTCATTGGACACATGATGAGTGGTCAGCTGTCCTCTTCTCTGATGAGTCATGATTCAGTCTGTAGCCTGACAATCGTGTCCTGATTTGGCATGAAAGAGCAACATGGAAGAATCCACATTTCATGTGAGAAAGATTTTTTCAGTGGTGGTGGAATCATGGTGTGGGCTGGCATCAGCATTGGTAGTTGTGCCAACCTCTACATCATCAGAAATGGATCACTGACTGCTGTCAGATATCAAGATGAGGTCCTGCAACCTATAGTGGTACACTATGTTGGAGCAGTTGGAAACAACTTTCTTTTCATGGATGACAATGCAAGGCCCCACTGTGTGCATCTTGTGAACAACATGCTTCAGGTGGCAGAAATTGAACACATGAATTGGCTTTCACATTCTCCAGACCTGAATCCCATTGAACATGCTTGGGATGCACTGGGAAGACATCTGGCAAACCTTCCAGTGCCTCTAACAACACTTCTTGAGCTGGAAATTGCCCTGGAGCAAGGATCCCACAAGAACTGATGAAAAATCTGATCCTGTCCATTCCATTCCTCATTGCTGTCAGTGTGTTTTGGCAGTCTTGGGTGACCATACACCCTACTTAAACAGTCAATGAGTGGCACTCTCATCCAGTTTGACATGCTTCTGTTTATCCCCACCAATATGTCACTTGCTACTCAATCACGTTAATTGAGTTTGCATATTTGAACAACTTTCTTTGATTGGTTGTTTGCTTTTCTGATGAACTTGTTTAATAAAAACAAATCAAATGCTTTTTTGTTTTTTTTATTGCTTCATATTCATTTTGAAATAGCCCCTAGTTTTTGTGAGCAGTGTATAATAAATTATGAATTGTTACTTTCACTTTGTTATTCAATTTGGAGTCATGTGATTTAAAACTACTATTTGATTTAAAAGTCACTCCCAGGTAATCAGTTTCCTTAACTAATTGGAAAGGCAAATTTTCTAAACATTTGTTTATTTTTCTGAGATTTACTATTTTTCAAAAATTTTTCATTATCTTTATTTTATTTGGATTGATTGATAATTTATTTTTTAAGTTGCTATATTTAAGTTGATTCATTTTTCTTTGTAAGAAAATTTTTGTTGATGCCATAATAACTAGATCTCCAAATAATATATAATGGAAATGTCTATTTGCAATTTTAATAATATCAGTGGAATTTGAAGAGTTGGTCAATCCCTATTATATAAAAATATATATGAACAGAACAGATCATCCTGAAGTATTCCATGTGATAATTTAAATGGAGAAGATATGTTATTTCAATTGAATAATAATAGTATTGTAGTCTGAAAATAGCTTAAACACTGTAAAAGAAAATTTTTCACCTGCTCTTTTGTTCCAAATTTTGAATTAGAAGTGGTATGAAAGCTGTAAATAGTTTATGCATTTTAGACAAGTGCAGTTGAATTATTGGTAAGAAAATTGCAATTGTGTATCTATTTCTTATGTATGTATATTGAAATATCGATTCTAAATCCATTTCTTTGGTCCATTGTTGGAATTTTTTTGCAAGAATTTCTGTGAAACATTCTCTTAAGGTGGAAAGGAGAGCTACTGGTTGATAGTTGTTAGGAAAAAATTTGTCCCTTTTTAAATATCATGTAAAGTCAAACACAATTTCATGAAGCTGGATATGAAAGATTATTATACATTTTTGTTAAATAAATTGAATAACTTGTTCCTTGTGGATTTGGTAATAATTTTAAAAAATTAATTGGAATATGATCACTACTCAGTAATGAGCATCCTGTTAATTGCATCGTTTAATCCTTCCTTTGCAAATTTTGAGTCTAAATATTCATTTTGAAGGGATTTCAGATTTGGAGATAATTGGATAAAGAAATTTTTGGAAAACACCTACAGAAATTTAACCATGCTTCAAAATTTATTTTTGGAGAATCATTGCTGGGGTCAATGTTAATCCGAATTTTTAAATTGTTAATCAAAAAAGTTTACATTTCTTCTTATAATTTATTAAAGTAATTTTGAAGTTTACAAAGTATCTTTTGTTCTTGATTTAAGTAAATGCTACAGATTTGTTTAGCTTTTTTTTTTCTTTTATAGTTAATGAGATTTTGGTTATTTGAATTTTTTATAAATTTTAGATCTTTTTGTTTTATTAATTTAAAATTACAGCAATTAAAATCAAACCAGGGTTTTTTGAATTAACAGGTTGTTTATCTACATTTTTAATATGTATATATTTTTTAATTAATTGTTCAATAAACATGTAAATATTATTCCAGTTTTTATCAGTTATGTCAGCAAATAAATTTAACTATATTTCTATCTTTTCCTGATATCTTGAGAAATTATTTGTTATTTTAATGATATCTGCTTTAAGCTTAAGTTGAAAAAAATCATTCAATGTAATTTTATTCTTTAATCCCTAGCAATTCCAGTTTATCATTGCTAGCATTTAACTAAGTGTGATATTTATTGTGGGATTGACTCTTTGCAATTTCCCAACTTTAAATTGTGAAATTCTGTATGGATGGAATTAAGAAAAACAATTTCCACATTTACTAATTTTGTACTTATACAATGTTATTTTATCTTGGCCTATTGCTAAAATATCATTACAGTCGACCCCCCTATAATTACGGTCCCTATAATTACGATTCCTATAAAACTACGAAAAAATATACGTATTTTGGAAATGTTGAGTCGGATTAGTGTAGAATTGATTAATTTTATGGAAGAAAACCTTTCAATCAGCTGTAGTCCATAAACTTGACACGTGTTGGGCTGTGATTGGAACGACTTGTAAGAAATCGGATTCCTAATAAATTGGAACATATCTATATCTTATAGGGGGGTCGACTGTACATAGTTTAACCTGGCAATTTTATTTTTTCATTTTGTTGTAGAAGAGAATAAGACTATTTCATCTTATCTGAGAACCCTTTATGAGATTAGCTGAAATCTGCATATTTTGCCATTCATAAAGTAGTTTTTTCTGTTTTCATTTTATCAAGGAAGTGAAAAAAGATTATTAATTTGGTTATCCTTAATGATCATTTTATAATGGAATTTTTTGAATAAGTTGATTGAGTTATTTCTTGAATCCTTCTAAGAGTAGTGTGTGTAAATTCAAATTTTTTATAAAATTCCATATACTTCTTATAGATACTTGAATCTATAAGAAGCCATTTTGAGCCTTTTCTGAATCCTTTATTTTTTCCTTAATTTAATTTAATTTCTTAATTTATGATTCCATATTTTTTATTTTTGCCTTTTGAAATTGATCTTTAAATTCTTGAATAGATTCATGTATTGAATGTAGATCATCTTTTATAGAAGTCATTTGATTTGCTAATTTATTACTGGAATTGTTAATTAAACCTGATAGTTTATTCTCTAAATCTGTCATTGAGGTGTTTGTATTTTCATTCATATTAATTATTTATTTAGAACTCAATACATTTGATTCACTTGAAGTTGATGGTTATTTTGTAAATTGTTATATAGTTGTAAATTATTTTTAGAGAGATTCTGTGGTTCTTTATCCATAGGTGAATTGAAGTCAGTTATTAGTTTGATATTAGAAGAGGTGAAATGCTTTTTCCTGTTGCTTGATTTACTTTAACTTGACAGGGAGTCTTCCACATTTTGTCAGAGATGTTTGTAAGGAACCAGAAGTAGATTCCATTTTAGAAATAAGTAAAAACATTAAGATTATTTTGATATCATATTTTCCCATTAAAAAACATTTAGAAAACATCAATACAATGACTTCTTTCATGTCACTAAAGTCCGAAACAAAATATTTCAACAATTTCAAAAGTCATAACATGCCTTCCTTTGTGCATATTTATTTTCAGTGATTGAAAATTAAAAATAATTTAGTTGGTGTTTTTAAAAAAATTCTTACCTTCGCTGTAAAACAAAATAGCATCAGCATGGAAAGCGGTGGCGTTACAATTATAAAAATGGACATGCGCAATTGAATATGAGAAGATTATAGATTATAGAACGTTTTGGAATTTCCGTTTGGCAAATTTAAATTCTATTAGTTCGATCCTGAAGAAGGTCTGTTAATCTGACCGAAAACGTTCGATAGATTTTTAAAATAGACTGCATGTTAAAGGTATTTGGAGTTTATTAATTGAAACTTTCAATGTTTTGTGTCTTTCACTCAGTTTTCTTTAATGTAAAGATTTTTAGAGAAATGCAAGCAAGTGAAAATATCAGATTTTATGAAAAAAGTGGAGAAAAATTGAGATGTTGCTGATACTTCAGATTGAGTCAACAGGAAAGCTCCAGATGATGATGATGTTTTACCAAAAAGAAAATATCCTCATTTAACAGTATTTAGCAGTGAAGAAAAAATTCAGAAAGGAGATAATTTTAATTAATTACTGGAGGGGATCAAATGTAATGAAAATTTGCAAATGCAAATTAATGAAAATGAACGTTTTCATTAATTTGTTACTGGTAATTAAAGGTTTTGTTGCATTTGAAAAAATTAATATTAATGGGCAATACTTTTGATTGTGATTGCTAGTTAATTATTGATTGCTTTAATAAACACATTTCTCTTAATTACATAAAAGAATAGCACACTTTTGTTAACCTTTGGAATCTAACCGTATGTTTTGTACTAGTTCTTTGTTTCATACAACATGGATTCGCATAACACGACACTTTCTTTGAACCTAACTACTGTGTTATATGGGAGATGTCTATATGTTACTTTAAAAAATATTTGTTACTACTATTAATGTAAAATAATAAAAATATATTTTCATATAGTTTTAATATGGATTGTAAGAGTAAATTAATTATTGTGTATTTTTAGTATAAATAATTGCATAAGGTAATAAGTAATTATAAAGATAATTTGATTAGCATTTTTCATGTCAATGTAGTTTTGTTTAATATGTTGATATGTAGTTAAAACATTTTATTGATCACATAATTGTAATAGAAATAATGTTATTTTTTAAGAATACATGTTAGAAGAACTGACAAAGTTGGAACAGAAGCTGCATTTCATGGGATAGAGGAATATATGGAGTTTGTTGATGAATATTATCAACAATTGGAATTAGTTGAAAAGGTTGAGAAAAGACGAATATATCTAGCAACAGATGAACCTAATCTTTTACAAGAAAGCCAAAAAAAGTAATTTTTTAGTCTTTTTATTTTTGTTAATTATAGTTATTAAATATCTGATTGCAATTCAAATACTTTTTCAGAATTTAGAATAATTGAAACAAATGATAACAATTATTTCTGTAGGCAACATAAATTAGTTTCTTCTATATTAAAAATAATTTATTCTGTAATATTTAATACATTGGCAGTGTGTATATATACACACTAGCTGTTACTCGCAACTTCACCCGCGGAGGTTTTGCAAGCAAACCCCCATTTATATTCAGTATTTCAACAAACATAGTAATTGTTATATAACACCTACCACTGAGAATGATGAGAATTACTGAGAATCAAACAAACTATTTTCAATTTGATCAATTTTCTGGAACATTTACAATCATTCTATAATTGAACTAATATGCAATAACAAATTTGAATTTAAAACAGTTTGAACATTTGGTTAAAAAATTGAAATGTATAAAAATATTTATAACAATGTCTGAAATGTTATCAATTTAATACACCTAAGTACTCAATGATGACTAAACATAGTTGAAAACAAAAAATCGCATCTAAAATAGTACAGTAGAAGCCCTTCTTTCGGTTAAGCCTTAATGATCTCTCTCTCCCATGGGGGAATTTTGAAAAATCCCTTCTTAGTGTGCGTTTTCATGATGTACCCTAACTGTGTACCAAATTTCACTTCTTTAGGTTCAGTGGTTTGCTCGGGGCAATGATGAATCAGTGACTCAGTCAGTCAGTCAGGACAAGTAATTTTATATATTTAGATTTCCAATGTATTAAATATTACTAATATATATATGAGAGGCAGTCAAAAAGTTTCCAGAATTGTGATCGTGCACTGTAGTGGCATGAGATATGGCAACGCAGACCTAATCATCTTCAAAGTGGGACTCTTCTGCACAGACACTTCTTCCATCGATCCTGCCACTGTTGAATGCTTCCTTTGGAATCTTCTAGAGTTAGGCCATTGTATTCAATATGATGTCCTCCCTGCTTGCAAAATGCATCCCTTTGAGGCCCATTTTGTCAAAATCTCTGCAGCGATCATCATGTGACATTCTGTCTGATCAGGATTCAGCAGCTTTGGAACAAATTTTGTACTGACACGTCTCATCTTTAGATCCTTGGAAAGAATTGCATGAATGGATCTGTGAGAGATACCAACTTCTTGCTCCAATTCAGCAATGGTTATTCTTTGATCATTTTTAATCAGTTCTCAAAGTTTTTAAATATTTTCTTTACTTCTGGATGTTGAAAGTCTCCTGCTACGTTCGTCATCCTCCAACATTTCCTGTCCATTTTTAACATGTTTAGTGCCCGAGGTCTAATTTATTTCTGCTTGGAAAATTGTCATTATTTTATTTTTTATATTAAATAATTATTTCCACTTAAAAATGAATCTGACAACCAAAAAAATTACTGGAAAATAATTGCCGCAAAATAAATACCCCAAAAAGTGTTTTTACAGAAAAACTATATGAAAAATTTAAAAGCATTCTTTTTAAATTATTTTATTTGAAAAATATAGCTGCACTTCTTTCATTTAACAAGGCGTGAAATTTCACACGTGCAGTCTATGTTGTTTACAAACCGGTTGACCTTGAGAACATTTGGTCAGCTTTCCTGGGTCATTGTCATATATGCTTCAGGGTAATATTGGTTTAAAGCAGGAGAGCTAACTTACCACATCTATTCAAATATAACACAAAATTTTTGATTTTTATGCTATTAAAATATGGGGGGACTGAAAAAAAGGTATGGGAAAAAAATTCTACTGAATAAAAAACAAAAAAAACCTGCTGATGTTATAAAAAATATCTAATAGTGTTGACTGATTTGACTTCAGTAAAATTTTTTACAAATAGAAGTTTAGAATGATTTAATTAATTTGATAAAATAACACCCATAAAAAACAATAGTGCAATTAAACTGGCCAAACCAGTTGTAAACTGTAGATTTCTTTAGTGCATTATCACTGTAAAATTGCTGCAGGGCTGTCAGCACCTTTGCAGCAGTTTTCCCCAATTTGCACATAAACTTGATGTTTCCCGTGCTGCTCAAACTGGGACATTGCATCGAATGACTATGCAAGTTTAAACTTGCACGAGCATTATCACATTGCAAGTAGATATGCTGAGCTTTCCACCACAGCAATGCATAACCTTATCTTATATTGCATTTTCTAACTGTAGGTAAATTCTAGGAATTTTTGATCGCCCCTTGTATAATGTTCTGTATGTTCAGAGATGTAGCTATAAAGGGCAGCGTTTTTTACACTAAAGCTCTTCTGACCCTTTCTCCCTACTATCCCCAATGCCATAATGCCACACCATTTAAGTTTAAAATTAAATAGTGTAAAAAAAGAATGTCGCAAGCAATTGACTACTGGGTGAAATAGAAAAACAAGTGTATTAGACTCATATACTAGACTACATGAATAGCCATGAGGTAAAGAGGAATGAAATTTAACTCTTATTGTTTAGTCTTTCTGTTTTTATCAAGCATTCGGTTTGCATATGGCATGCAAGGAGTTGCTATATCAGTATGAATTTCTGGGACCCTATTCTGACACCAGTCGTGGTGAAACACCATGACTGATGTCAGAATAGTAAGCATATCTGTATAGAGTGGTTATAAACTCTGTATCACATCCGTATGGCCGTACCATATTCCATAAGAAAAGTTTGGATCAATCAAACTTTTACAGTAGGGATATGGAGAATTGACCAACTGTGCATACGCTAAGTTGCCATCAGGCAATATACAATTGGAAGTTGTGCCAGAAGCAACCAACGAAACTATGACAAATTGATTGAAATGTAACTTTTGACTGACAATGCTGCTTCTGAATAATATAGAATTTTAAGATAAGAATTACTTTGGTCATAAAAAAAATAGAAAAATAATAAAATGAATAAATAATTATAGTGTTAGATCTGGCAATAACTACCAATGATTTGCGCATGCTCATGATGGACTGCTTCGTAAACCATAAAAAAGTTTGTTACAGAAAAGGCCTTACGGTAATTTATAACTATTGCTATAGATATCCAATGTAGCAAATATTTACGAATATGGATATAGTTACATTATGGAGTTTATAACTTGACCCTAAGTATTTGACTTGTGGATAAGCAGTTTCATGTGTGAGGCAGGTTAAGAGGTGGGAGAAGGAACTGACTGTAAATTCAAGCAATTCAGAAAATAAATCTCTCTCTCTTCTTGTGGAATAACCATCTTGGAAACTTGGTGAACAGGTGATAATTCATTAAAATTGGTCAAAAAAATGTCATATTCTTGGATAGGACTGACCAATCAGAAAATTTTTTATGATACTTCCTTGGAGTTATTCATGAGAAAAATGGTGAATAATGTGTTGGACAAGGAAGTTGGCATGATTTATTTCTTCAGAAGATGAAATGTATCTTCTATCCATTGAAAGTTGCAACCTTAGACTTAGCAAAAAACATTAACAAAATTTTTCCATTTCTCAATTCTCACATTAGTATGACAGTTTCTTGCTCAATAATGTGTTACTAGTGATGTGGACTATTGCATTTTTATAGTATCCTACTTATCTACTAAGGCTAGGCAAGCAAGCTTTCAGCCATGCAGGTGACCTATATACAGAAATTTCTGCAGTGCTCTTCTTTTGCTCTAGTTGATACAAATTATCTTTTTTAATACTCTAGTTGTAATATTTCTTAATTTTCTTGTTTTTATTTAAGTTGGGAATTGATTTATCATTATCATCATTAATTTGAATAACAAGATCAATCCAATCATAATTTTTTCTGAAGTGAAACCACTGCTGATTTTTTGATCTTTTGATTTTTTTTCCTTTTTTTTTTTTTAACATTGGTTTGTTCTTTGTCTTTCTATTTTTGGTGTAGTAGTTACTATTACACTTGCTAAAAAACCTTATAGATCATTGATTATTAGTTTTAAACAATTATTTGCTTAAATTTCACAAATAATTTCTTTATAGCAAGTTCAAATTCAATAAAGTTTTATAAAGTTGCTGGAAAAAGTTACTGGAACCAGTAAAAGCTGGAAAATAATATAATAATGCACACATCATATTTGATTTAATTCCTTCAGAGCCCTTTGTATAATAACTTGATAAAGGGGGTGCTGAAGTCAGTTGACTGTGTTGGTGAATTTTGTGACTTTATGGAAAGTTAAAAATTATGGAAAATATTGCTTTTTCTGTAGTTGTATCAATATTTCTGTTGATTCTTAAGGGAATAGAGGAAAATCACTTCCCTTTGTCTCGAACTCCTCCCAATTCATCAGTTTAGTTTTCTAATGTTAAGAGCAATAGACGTCATCCTCCTAGTGAACCTATGTTAAAAATTCCAAAATTGGACAATTTTTTTCCTGCTAAATCTGATTCAAGTAAGTATTCCTAACAAAATTCTTTCATATTTAGATGAAAGGTTTGATACAGTTCTTAATGCTCTAAGCGAGGTATCTGCTAGAATCGATTGGCTTGTTAATTTACGTAATGAAATGATGAAAGATTGATTAAGATTGAAACTAAACTGGAGGAAATTTTTAAGTTTAAGCAGTAGTCTCAAAGCAAAGATAGTTTGCTTTTGCATAGTGTTGACTCATTGGCAAATGAGCTGCGAAGGAAAAATATAGTAATCCAGGGTCTGATGGAGACCAGTGATGATCTGAGTAATAAGAGACAAGAGCTGTTTACAGTAATAGTAGAACCCTAGGACTATTCCATTGGCAAGGATAACAAAGCTTCATAAATTAATTACTATTTTGGTTGAATTATCATTGTTATCAGATAAAAAATTAATTTTTAAAAGAATAAATAATTTTAAAAATTGAAAAATTTACAAAAATTAAAATCTTCAATGATTGTGTTGNTCATTGGCAAATGAGCTGCGAAGGAAAAATATAGTAATCCAGGGTCTGATGGAGACCAGTGATGATCTGAGTAATAAGAGACAAGAGCTGTTTACAGTAATAGTAGAACCCTAGGA